CAGAAGGAAACAGCTGAGAGAGAGAAGCAGAAGAAGAGAGAGAAAGTTTTGCTCTCCCAATGTATTAAATAAATTAAATAACCGAAAGGGAGAGGGAAAAGAGGGCCAATTGCTAATTAAATTAGAATTTCGGTTTAGAAATGGTATTTCCTGGTTAAAATTTAATGATGTTATCATTAAAATTGATGAGAGTAATTAAAATTACTATTAATCAATTTATATCTTGAAGCAGGATAACTCAACCCTAATGCTAACCATGAAATTAAAATTGTATTGCCTTATTGATGGTTAAGGATTAAAACATTTTATGATGTTTGTTATTAAAATTAGCAACGCAATTATAGCTGACTGATCAGCAAATATTGTGGCAATATGGAAACAGGACCCGTAATCACTTATTAAATGAAATTAAAATTCCAAATATGTAATTAATTGTGAAATCAGTATTAGTAACTTGTTATCCTTAAAGCTTAAACTTCTAATGTTGTTGTCTTTAAACTATAAAAGCGCCTACAATCAAACTGCATCAATTAACTGCATTGAAATTTAAATTTCAAATCTGTAATTAATTTATGAACTGAAATGTAAATTCCAAATCTGTAATTAATTTAGGAAATTGAATGTAAATTCCAAATCTGTAATTAATTCTTAAATGTACTTCACAATTTCAAATCCTTACGTATAGCAAATTAATAATATTTACTTATGTCCCTAAAATTACCAGAGTCGTTATAGCTGAATTAAGCACAGCGTAGCATTAAAGTCAGACGGCCTAGGCTGGCCAGGATTAATTGTTAATAACAACACAACGGTAGCAGTTTACTGATATAGTAACACGCTGAAGGGAAGAAGCCAACCCTTTTTAACCAACGTGATTATAACCACTTGTGAGATCGCTAATCTGACGTTTGGTTAAAATCACGTTGCAATAAGGTTTATAAAGTTTGCATCTGTCTGTTCTTTTCAATGGGAGGAGAAGAGGAGAGAGAGAGGTGAGAGAGGTAGGATGAGATCAGTGTGAAATAGCGAAAGAAATCAGATGTGACTGATCGAGTCACCTCAAACACTGCAAAACTCTTTGCCTTTGACCACAAAATGCTACGTGCTAACCACTAGCCTTC